TAGGTGTAGTTTCTGTGGTCTAGGTGTAGTTTCTGTGGTCTAGGTGTAGTTTCTGTGGTCTGGGTGTAGTTTCTGTGGTCCCAATGTAATTGAGATTATAGTTCAGTATCTGCAAATATGACTTATTACAATTTTTTATTTATTAAAACCATTTTTGTGTTCGCTAAGTTTAATTAACTGTGGCGGCCATCTTAAATCAGGTTGGCTTCCAAAGTTTATAATTTATAGATGAACATCCAGTAATTACTTCCTAATCATTAATAAAACATGAGCTAATTTAGTAAACCTCGGGCAGGTACCATTTTGGAGGGGGCGAGTATCAGGATGACGTAGCGGACCTCGCAGCAGTTCTCCCCCCAGTTCTGCGGCCTCTCCAGGCGGGAGATGCACACGTGGCGCCTCTGAAGATGCTTCACGTTGCAGCTGGAGCAGAGAAGACGAATAGAGGAGGAAGTTTTAACAAAAATATAAACGCCTCGCCTCAGCAGACTTTAAACATTCAGACGTGTCGCAGAGTAACAAAATAAAAACGTATAATACCTCGAGTGAATGCATATCACCCGTCACCTTTCAGTCCACAGTTTTAGAGTGAGATCATTTAATGATAAAAAAATGACTAAACATTTGATGAAATAAAGATAAATGAGACTGGAGGTGCAGTTTCAACAAGAAATCAGTGCAAATTTGTTGTAATTTGACTAATTTGTACACTTTTCTTAAAAAATAATACATTTAATGTACAGCAAGACAAAATCTATCAATACAAAGTTAAATTATTCAATTTTTATGTAAAAAATAAACAAATCATGATAACTAGTTGTCTCGTTTGCCTCTATGTGTCCCTGTGATGGACTTGCGACCCGTCCAGGGTGTACCCCGCCCCTCGCACAGTGATTGCTGGACATGGGCACCAGCGACCCCCGTGACCCAAAGTGGAAGAAGCGGGTAAAGATAATGAATGGATGGATGATAACTTTAGAATTGCAGCTTTAAATTTACAAGCAAATGTTTAATTAGAGGTAGCAGATAATAACACTTTTGTCTGTCTCTGTGTTTGACAAAGTATCTCATGAACCACCAATGTACATTTACACCTGGTTAACATTTGAAGCAATTCAAGATGGCCGCCACAGCCAACTAGCACTGGGACAAACAAAAAAGACTAAGATTTAGACAGTTCTATAGATATTTAGCTGAAATCTGATGGTGGTAGTAGCTGGGAGTGATCCCCAACACGTAATCTGGGAGCCACAGATTGAGTGATATTTCTGTTAGCAAAATATCTAATCAATGATAGGATGTATTTTAGTAAAACGTTCAGAAACTAATCACTGGATGTATCACTGTAATCGATTACCTTTTAGAGCAAACTCAACTCAAGATGGCTGCCACAGCCACCTGACATTAGGAAACTCCAAAACAGCTATAATTTAGTAATTTTTACAGATATTATCCTGAAATCTGGCGTGGTAGTAGCTGAGAGTCGCCCCCAACACACAAGATCGTACATAAAGCAGCTCCAACTCCATTGCTCAAAAGAAATTAGTTTTTGCCCAAAACTCTTGGATGAAAGGTGGCGGGTGACGTGCATTCCTTAAGGCTTGACAACAGTTCTTACAGGATGCAGAGCCAGGACTGCTGGTACTGGACCCCGGTGGCCGTGGCCGTCACGCCCTGGATCGTCTCCGACAGCAGGTGGACTGAAGGGCAGAGGTCAAACCCAAGTTAGAGAACATAATCCATAATCTAATCCTCAAACAGTTTTATAAAGATTCTCATGGAAGGAATGTTCGTTTCTTTTCTGTATGGAGCTCAGAAACACCAGAAGTGTCTTCTGCCAGTTCAGTTTCATTAAGAGCACGTTCAACAACACGTTTAGACCCATTTAGGACATTTTCAATGGGAAAGTAGCGCCTCAGTGCTGCCAAGTGTTTAAATATGCCGTCGACATATTTAACGAGTGTCCCTTCTGCCACGAGCAGCGATGCCCGTCTGCTTCTGTGAGCAAACACCCCGACAAGCTACACCGGCGCTCGTGTTCACGACTAAAAACAACATTTCATTAAGCCGGTGTGTTCACGGAGCACAAATCATTAAACATCAGCTTCCCAACAGGAAGCTTCGTTTGGACTTTGTGGTTTTGAGGGATTTTCTCCAGCAGCGGTAAAAACCCAGAGAAGACTCAGCTTTTCTTTTTTTTTTTTTTTGTCTCGTGACAACCTCTTTAGCTCATCAGCTCAGAGAAAATGACAGGGTGGAAATGTTTGGTGTTGTAAGCAGCAGGGGGGGAGGAGGGGGGAGGATCATTTCCATATCGTTTTGACTTCTTTCTTTCTCTGCGTCTTTGTCTTCCTCTCCATCACTCTTCTTTTCTATCCCTCTGCCATGCCGTCTCATCAATAAAGTATCCTCCATTCATGCCAGAAAATGATGGGCGTCACCATGACAACAGTATCACAGGGCTCATGGAGGGAGGGGGAGAGGAGGGTAAAAAATGTTTTAAAATAAGGTGGTTTGAGAGACAAGAAATGAGGAGGGGAGAGGAAAAAAGAGGCTTAAAAGAGGGAAATAGGCAGGAGACGGGTACAAATAAATAAAACCAACAGAGACTAAACAAAACATGACAATCAGAAATAAACAAAAAGCGAGATGAGGAGTCGGAAACAGGACGACGTGGGGAAATGGAAAATGGGGAGACGACGAGGACTCGATTCAATTAACGGCAATAAGCTTGACGGCCAGGTCCAAATCTAAAGCCATCCAATCTCTCATTGACGTCAGGGACGAGCTGGGGGGACGGGGGGCGCGGGGGAGGCTGGGAGAAGAAATGAGTGAGAGATCGAGAAGGGAGTGAAAATTTAACAGAAAATGAACACAGGAATTAAAACAGAAAACGTACGTTAGGCCCGGAGCCAAGACAGACGCTAACACCGTTAGCTTTGTTCCTCCTCCTGTATTAATGTTTTTTTAACAAACAAAAATGTTGTGGATTTCTGGAGCTTTTATTTTGTACGCGGAAATCACAGCTTTCAATTTTCAAGTCAGAAAACGTATTGAACCCCATCACAAAGTTGGAGACGGCAAACTTTTAGCAAGTTTTCAGATCCTTCTAGCGATTATTTGTTTAAAAAAAAAAAAAGTGACAAACCTAACGGCCATTTAAAGCTGTAATCATATTAAGACAATATTTTTTTTAGATTTTTTTATTTGTTGCGACATTGTTCCTCTCTGGACAGTTACGACATTTATGAGATGAAGTGATTTAGTGACACAGGTTAGCCTGTGGCTACATTCCTTAGCCTTAGACTTGGCAACACGACCAGCCAGGACCTCAAAATCCAATATGGCTGCCCAGATCCACCCGTTCCAATATAAAGTTTTATTAGCTGCAATGATCATTTCCCACTTCTGTCCGTCAGTAGTCCCGTCACACGCAGTACGCTCCAAACATTATTAGCGCACCGACTGGATGCACAGTTACTGACTTGTGCCGCTAATGGTAGTTAGCCTGGTTACTGAGCACCACTGTTAGCAAATTCTATTAGTTTTTTGACTCGCAACTAGAACTGTTATGTTGAAAAGACGTATCCAGATCAGACTTTGAGGTAAACTAAATAGAGCGTTAAAACCAGTACTGATTTTATGCCCTATAAATCACCTTTTTTTTGCATAATTTGCATGCCCTGCGACTTATATGCCAAAGTGATGTATTTATGGATTTTTTCCCATATTTTGGTTGAGATATGACCGTTTTCATTCATTCCGACTGAAAATATTGAACACTACCATTTTCAACCACTAGATGGCGCTCGAGTAGTATGGCATGCCGTTGTATAATTTAGTAGGTAAAAGTGGCTTTTTACACAATTGGCTTACCATATACTGCCACCGTCATCTGCCTGGAGCAACCGTCAAATAAGCTTCATTTCACCGCGCACTCCCAGTGAAATGCAGCCAATTTGACCATTAAAGTGCATTTATAAAGTAAAAGTTCAACCGAGACACACCTTTACTATAATGTTGAGCAAACAAATAATCGTTTTAGGTGCTTATCTTGTTAGATTTCGAAGAAACGCGCAGCGTTCCTCCTTCCTTTTTTCCTCCCCGTCTGCGCGCTCCCGGAGCACCGAGGCAGCTAATACTTTTAAAATGCAGCTGATTTGACTGTTAAAGTGCATTTATTAAGTAAAAGTTAGACTGAGACACACCTTTACTATAATTTCGAGCAAACAAATAATTGTTTTTAGTGTTAATCTTGTTAAAATCTTGTTAAAGTCCTCCTGTACATGCTTCCGCGGCCACCATTTGGCAGCCAATCGATTTTTGGCACAACACTGGCCCACATTTCCGGGTTGTCAGCGGTGACGTATAATAGATGCAACGTTTACGGCGAAGCGATGTATTTATGGATTTTTCCACTTTATTAGACATACTGGACTGATGTAACTTATAGGGCGGAGCAGCGTGTAAGGCAAAAAATACTGCTAAAGGTAATAGGAGGACTGCATGTGGCACGTTATATGCCCGTCGATTAACTCATAAAACCTTTGACCTTGATCTTAAAGCCGGGATGATGAAAGGTGCACACAACACTCAGTCCAGTGATGTTGCAAATGTGTCATTTAACGTTATGTAAAATTCTCTTGGGTGGATTATAAATTATGGGCGGGACAAGAGAAAGTTCACGAACGTACAGAGACACGGTAATACGTCCCCTGTTGATGGGCGTATAATAACGAAGCTAAACACATCTAACAAGGTTAACTCAGGTCCTTTGAATGGATTCTTCTTTGTCGAAACGTTTCGTCTTTCATCCAAATAACTTGAGGGGATGCAATAAACTTATATAAATAGCATCTTATCATAGTGGATCAACCAGATTGCTGGAGACGACCAGAACTAGTTGTTCACATGCAAAAAGAGGACCATCAGCCTAACTACTGATCATTAGTGGTCTAAAGGGCCACTTGCTATTCACAGAGGACTGAGTGATTAAACTCTCAAACTAGTTTGAGGCAATCCTGGACACAGTGGTTCAAAATGTCCTGATGCATGCTCAATAATCCAGAAAGATAAATCTAACAAGGTTGAGTCGAAATGTTTCAACGAAGAAGAATCCGTCCAGAGGACCTTGTTAGATTTATCCACCTGGATTATTGAGCATGCATCAGAAGCTAAACACACTTCCTGCTGCACATAAACCCCAACGTTAGCACCTCAGTTATTCAACTCCGTTTTGTTTCAAGTCCTAAGGAATCTAAAGAGGGTGGATTTGTATTTACAGAACGTGGTTATTCCACTTCCTGTTCAGACTGAAACAAAAGCAAACCAGAGCCTCCAAATGTTGCATCTGAAAGTGCAGTGACATTAACCGACTCCCCAGCCCTCCGTTCCCTCCAAAGGGAGACAAATCTGCTGTAAATTCACCTTCGGTTTGCTCACAACCCCATGCAAAGATCACCCGGTGATGCCAATATTTACTGAGCGGCGTAAAGGGCATCGTGACTTCCCGCTCTTTGGGTTACGTCGACGGTAAAACGAGCACACCCAACTCGTACGATCCAAAAAAAGTGATCAGGTGAGCTAATTGAAGATGTGATTATTTGTCATTCTAATGAATATTTGCACACAGTTTCATCAGCTTTGCGTACAACGCCGTTTCCACACCCAAATATGATTTAAAAAAAAGGCCTGTGTGACACGCAGCATGTCAAATGTGACAAACTTCAATGGAAAAAGATGAATTAATGGGAGGAAGGCTGCACAGACCCTCTTTGATCCTTCTGGATTCTTTAAATGAGTTTATCCACAAAGCTTCTGGTTCGGAAGGGGAGATTTCTATTTCTGCAAATCACATGAGACGGACAGTCACAAATAAATAAGATACGAAATAATAAACACGCAAATAATTCAGCCTCGTCATTTCTTCAGTTGTCAACATCAAAGACAGAAAAAAAAAAGCCTTTAAGGCATCGAGATCCCTTCCATTATTCCCACAAGTAGTTTTATAGAAAGCTCCAGATGTTCTAAAACAGAGCAGCTCCATACAGAAGAGGCAGAACCACAGAAACGTGACGTGATGATGACGATGAGAGGACAACCAGGACCGGATCAGGTCCGGGTTCTGACATCTGCAGAATTTGACTTTAGTATTTTCTGGATAAAGGCAGGAAAAGTGAACAAAGCATGAAGGAGCAGTCTCTTTTCCAGGACTTAATCCTTATAAAGCACTAAAATGATCCAACAGAATAATTTTATCATTACAAATTATTTAAAAATGATTATAGCTTTGGACCCCTAAGTAAAGGTTACAGATCAATTATTTTACTAAATAATCCTCTTAAGACAAAGTTGATTCCTGTGATTACAACTCGGAACAAAAACAGCGAGCTTGTTTTCAAGCTCTATGTTTAGATTTAAATTTAAATTTACTGACTGGGCTCTTCATTTTGTGGTCTAAATTATATATTTTTTTATAATAGATTTGATCAATGTGTAGGAACCCCATTAAATATGGAGGAAATTAAATCTAATCTTGTAATTGGGAGGTCAAACAGACACTAAACCTGTCAGATGATGTATTTTATAAAATGTATGAACAGTGGGGGAGATCATAAATTAAGTACTAACCTGGTAAGTACTGTGTACGCACCAAGTAGCTACCAGATAAGTGTTAGGTACTTACTGACCCACTACCAGGTAAATACTGGGTAGTCGGCGGTCACTCAGGGTTGAGTAGGACGGCCACTTCGAGTGTGGGATTAGAGTCCAATACTGTGTCGACGGACCCTGCCACAGCATGTTCAGGAGCATACACTGACTCCAGGTGAGGTTGCGTTGGCTGCTTTGCTGGTTCGACGCTGCTTCTGTCTTTTGACTCTTCCTCCAGTCGGCGTTCCACGATGGCAGTTGCCTCAATGGTGTGTTGCCGCCAGGTCTTTTGCCGCAGTTTCCCAGGTGGAAATGGAAACGTTGCATGAAGACAGATGTTGCTTAACAGTCTTTGTATCCAAGCTTTGGATGACTCATTTTGCCACATTGGAGCTCTCCACAGAGGACAGCTTTCGGCAGTCTGGCATCGCCCATTCCAACGACACGGCCGGTCCACCTTAGTGTTTCTACACGGGGGGAGTTAGTACACTTTCTGACTTCAGAGTTGGAGACGTTGATTTACAGTTGACCTCAAGGAGCTGGTGAAGGTGGGACACCTGTACTGGTAAACGGCTAATGTGTCGAGGTTACATAAGTACTTACCAGACACATTACCAGGTAAATACTGGGTGAATATTGAGTCACTACCAGTTAAGTACCAGGTCATGTCGATAATTATGTATTAGGCATATTACCAGGTAAGTACCAGGTAAATTCTAAGTACGTACTAGATATATACAAGTATATATTAGGTAAGTATTAGG